GAGTATCGAAACCAAGCCAGCAAAACATTTTATTGGTGGGTATAGAGTTTATTAGTTATTATATATAGTATAAATATGTTTTTTAACTAACAAATTTTAAAATTTCAAACGTAATAAGCATTTAAAATCATCAAATTTTACTATAAACATTTCAGAGGAATTTAACCCCTCATTTATTGATGATAACAATAAAATCTCCTCTATCGATGATGTTATACATATTTTCTCTCAAAGTAAATTACGTTCGATTAAGTATATCGTTTAAAAGAACATGCGTTCTTCAACCTTTTATCTATCATTAAATATCAACATTTGTATAATTGATAAATCATATTTATAAAAAAAAAGCTTTTATTTCATTGATTTATTTTGTCAAAAAAGGGGCATTTGTTTTATTATAGCTTATGTTGTGATAAATAAATGTTTTTAATAGCTTTGGAAACGTTTAACAATGAGGAATTCTCTGAGGGTTGGATCAAGTATGAACCACGTACTTTGTTGGCAATAAGGTGTCAAACTTTGATAACTGTTATTACAGATGTTCGTTTTCTGTTTCGTACTGTGTTTTGTCGTAGATATATATATATGTAGGTAGCCACGTTTTTCATCTTTTTGTATTATACGATGATGGATGATATTTCACGTCATGGTGAAGGTTTGTCGGTGAGGTGAATTTCTGACACGGTGTTTCATTAGCATACCCTCCGACCTTAACCGTCAAATAAAACAAATGAGCTTGTACAAAGCGAGACTTTGTTATGTTTACATGCGAAAGAAAGAAAAAACCGTATACTTGTAAGCCGGGGAAAAAATCTAAATGTTCCGAACAAGATGTTGGGTGACGTAGTGAATGTATTGAAAATCCAAGTTCGTGTATTTTCGTTTTGATATCGGATTATACATCGTTGTATTTTTATTTATTTATTTTTTGTATGATAAAAATTTATAAAAATGAAAAAAAAGATTAAACAATACATTTTAAGAATTATTTTGTAAATATCTGCAAAAGTGCTTACACTTATACATTTTTTGATATTTTGTTAATATTGCTAAATAATATTAGTAAGTAACATGTTAAAAATCTACAAATTTTAAGCACTGACAGATGTCATCATCGCCATCATGATATTACATTGTTTCTGGCACTTTGTTTACATGTTTTGATTTTATTTAAATAGATGGCAGAGAAATGTTGGAGGTAACTTCGCGTGATGGTAAAAAAAACATTGACTCAAGTATGGTTCAGTACTATCGAGATTCTTCTTACTATTGGTTGGGCTGACAAGGGCTGACATATTCTACAGAAATCCCCGTTAAACTGGAATCTAATTAAAATTGTAATTCGAAAGGGCTGCTGCGGTTATCGACCAGAGTTTGAAAGGGTCGTTGTCATAGTAAACTCTGTTAATTACATTACTGGAATTTTTTTTTTTTTTAAAGTAGGCAGTTAGATAAAAACTAAAAATTTTTTTCATAAAATACTAAAATTACTTATTCATTGAAGTTTATATTGATGGTAATTTTTCAAGAATTTTTTATTCTCCAATAACACAAAATGAATAAATAGTAAATGCATTTTTCAACTATGGTGAGTTTTCAGACGATAAAAGCATATGCATTGTAAATATATATCACTTTTAAAATGGATACTATAATATACAGCATACTAAGTTCATACGTTGACACAATTTTCCTTTCGTTTTTAGAAAATTTGTTTTATATTAGAGATACGATTACTTTAATATTCCACACCTTATTAAGCACTGTTTGGAATTCAAACCATCATGATAACATAAAACAATTGGCCTAATCATGCTATTCATTGAAGGAATTTTAAAAAGGCATCGGGAGTATGTTTCAGAAATTTTGAACGTTGAAAAATAAACCTTTATTATAATAACTGTATGCTAAGAACGTTCAAGCGATTAGCGTAATTTCGTGAATGTTTACTTCAGTATTTCATTTTTATTAATTTTTATATTATAAATAATTGTTTTACATATTATACAACTAAACTGGTATTATTTATGGTATCAATGAAATGTATTCAAACAAATTGTAATAAACGTTTTGCAAAAAGATATAATTGCATATGATATATTCATACTGCTAAAAAATATTAGAAGTACTTGTACATTTTATGTTATCGTTTGTAATAACGAATTTTTAATAGTATTGATACGTCAATAATATAAAATTTTTAAGTAATAAACTAATATATCTAAATTACACATTTTATATTAGTGAACTATATGTATTACCTATAATAATATTTATTGTTGAAGAAATTGGTGTATAGTGTGGAAATTCAGAATGATAACCATAATAAAATAAGATTATTATTATTGGTATTATTATCATTACTATAATTATTATTTTTTTAATTTTATTATAATATTAACTAAAAATTGTAGTACAGATGGATACTACATAAATGATAATTTTAAACGTTATATGCAAGATTACTCTGAATGTTGTTTTATTTATTTTTTTATATTGTTATAGTTAAATAAACCGCCTAATCCATGCCATTAGCCTTATGAAATAATATACACTTAACAGAAATTATATTTAAAAAATTGTTGAAGTATTAAATATTTATTTTTTTAACTAATGTTCAGATTTTTTTTTCAAGCAACCATATACATTATTTTGACAATAGATTAATTGTTTTATATTTTCATCTTTGTTATTTTTCCGAGAATAATGATATAGTTTTAACTAATTATTTGTCATATCATTTTTAGATTTCATGTGACGATTTATAGCATTTAAATGTTTGTTTTACTTTTAACATTTTAAATGTATAAATATAGTTATTCGATTTATTCTAAGGTAATTTACCAATTGCACTTATATAATCTACGTGCATTTTTTTTTTCATGAATTGGTACATTTATTACTTTTTAATAACTAATTTAATAAATAAAATAATTGGTTTTCTATCATATGATGCATTTAAATATAATTATTATTTTTACATTTAATTTTCTGAAAATTGAATTAACTGTACATTAAATGTATATAAATGTTATGTACTGTTATTATTTATAGTGTAAATTTGTTTTTATGTTATATATATCCTTTTTACACCTTGTCGGTGTTTTCTTGATTTTGATAATTTCTGTCGTTTTAGTTTTTTTATCACGTTCAGTAGTGATAAAACTAGGTGCCTTATCGGTACGTTGTGTCACGTATATCTGCACAATTTGTGGCCGCGGAAATTGCGAACGCGATGTTCACGACCTAGTGAACACAGTGGTTTTTTTTTTTATTGTTGCTGTCGTGCATATAGAGTACTCCAATAAATCAATATCAGCCCAAATTAAACCTGAGCTGCGTTTTACAATGTGTGTATAACTCACGTGTCTAGAATTCCATCTTAATTTTTTGCTGTATTACATTTAAATCTTCTTGCTAACCAAAACATTTTCGCTATTCAGTCAACCAGAGAATGTTAAAAAATGAAGTTTTTTTAATAATTGTGTTTTACCAGAAATAGTAATTTGAAATGAAAATAATTAATTTAATTGTAACTTAAAAACATCGTATAATTGTTGTGATGATTTTTATAACATTGTTTGTTTTTTTCCAAGTCAAGGATAATTGAAATATACCATTTATTTTATTATGTTTTGGTGGGTTTTTGAAAGTTCTTTATTCAAATTAAACATCAGTACCAGAAAACGCATATATATATATATATTATTTATATATACATGTAAATATTTAAAGTATATTTAAAACGCAGATTTCTTATTATTAAATTACGCTGTCCCATCCAAAAAGTTATATATATATATTTTGATAATATAGGAACATATCTTTACATCCTATTAAAAAAATTGATATGTTATTTTAAAATAATAATTATTTATGTAATCGAGTATAGTAACAAAAAAATGAAAATCCGTTTAGTTAGATAAATAATTATTACATATTTTTCAATATAATTCTTATTAACTTTTCGTAGTGTATAATTTAAAACGTTTTTCATTTATTTTGAAATAATCCTACATAATCGGATCTATATTTTTTAGTATATTTAAGCCTTAAAAATACATTCGTTGTACTGGTTTGTATAAAAGTAAATTATTATTATTATTATTTTTTTTATTTAAATTTTTCAAATAATATTTTGAAATAAATTAATTTAGTATACTATATTATTATTTCTATGTTGAAAACAACTATTAATTGAAGAATAAATCGTGATTACAACTATTGCTGATAATATTAGTGATATTTGATTGTGACAAACATTGCATATTATCTACCAGATGTTACATTAATGTGTTGTATAGTACCTTAGAGTTTACGGGTAATTACTATGGTTAAATCTGCTTGAGAGAATTGGCCAATGATATTGAAGCATGAAAATATCGTAATATCATTAACGCAATCCAATTCTACGATGCAAATCTGTTTGTTTTTTTTGAAACTTAATTTTTGTATCCCTTTAAATAATTTTGCTCTTGTATAGTGTTTAAGTATAAAGTATGAGGTGGTGAGTTTGTGATTTTTAAATTATCTCAATTCATTGCAAATAGAATGAAAATTTAGAAAACATGGATAATTTCTGAACTAATAAATAAATCAAAATCAGCTAATTATGTTGAATGAAAGAAGGATTTTAATATATTGTGCTGACTGAAATTACATTTAGCTAATTATTTATTGAAAATTTATGATGAAAATGAATAATGAAAATATTTGACATTAATTAAGTGAATTATTATTTTAAAATTAAATTTAAGTGCTAATTATATTTAGTTCATCTACATTATAAGATTTAGTCTTAACTATTGGGGTATGTAAGTTTTTTCGAAGTAAAACAGTCGTTCAGTTACTGGCTGATGCTTAAAAGTATTTACACATACAAATCCACTTAGAATCGTACTCCTTTTTGAGGAGGGTACAATTGGCTTTCAAAAATAACCAACAGCCCTATTAATATAAGCTAGATATCGTATTCATTCTTATTGCATATTTTTCTGTAGGATGAATTTATTATGCTGAAAATATTGGTACAAAAGACGGTCAGAGATAAGTGTTGTGCTAAATAATGATATCAAGAACATGAAAAAATACACTCACATTGAAATAACACATTCCATAATTTATAAGTAATGCATTCCATTGAAAATTTTGAAAGGTGACTTGGTCGATAATATTTCTAAGTTAATCTTCTTTTGATAAGCTTATGTTAACCAAGTATTCACATGTATTTTCTTTTTTCAATAAACTTTAATAACATAAATATTGTATACATTTTGCTTTATGGTTGATTAATTAAAGTTGATAATTTTTATTAGAGAATTATACAATTCTTAGTTTAAGTGAGTGTACAAAATGATAATTATCTTATTATAATGGTTTTTATGTTATTGTGTGACAAAATATAACAATAAGTATTGATTTTGTATTATTCTGTGTATTTACCTATAACTTTTATAATTCATTTTAATGTGTATGTTTATAAAATTCACAGTGAGGGGTATTTTGTACCTGAAATGTTCTTATGAACTGAGTAGATTATATTAACAATCAATTGTCAAACTATAATTTTCGTTAAAAAGCAATTTGTTACAAATTTGTTACAATTTGTCACAAATTATTCAATTGTAATTTGAAATTTTCAGTCATCTTATTTTTCGACTTGCGACGTACACATCAACTCAAAATTTCAACTATATGCTTACAAATTGGTTGTTAACATTATCGTTTTTCATACTTTTTTTATATTCATTTCTAAAATTACTTAATGGTAATAAAAACTAACTATTTTAACTGACCATTTGTATTTTGTATCCAATTTACTATCGACAGAATGAATACATAAAACTTTAGAAGTTGGTGCCTTTGCCATCCCGAAAATATCTTTTTAAAATATACATTATTGTATGTCAGTTATTTTTTTGCTATATTCTGAAAAAATAAAGCTTAGAATTTAGGTTCATTGTAGCTTAATAGCATGCAGTAAATAGTGTTTATAATATTTTAAAGTATTGCATCAGAGTTGTTTTATTTTATTTAATAAAAATATTGTTTAATTTTAAAAGTTTTGGTTCGTTTTTATGAATTTTAGTTATAGATTATAATTAAATAACTCCTACTTGTATAATAATTTAATATTTTATTTAAGATATTTTTTAAATAACATTGCATTCAATATTTGATTAAAATACAATTTAAAAATAAATAAACAATTTTTGAATAATCTAGTTACTTGAAATGTATACGGGTCATATGAGTTTTCGTTTTTAAAATATGCATAATCAAAAAAGAAAATAAATAACACATCAAGAAAAGGGAACTTTTTGTTGCAAATCTCCTAGCTATCGAATCCTTCATATTAGAAAAATTACGTACTTAACTGAAATATACGATACGATGAAAAACAAGTCCACCTACAAGAATAAGCGAAGTGTGTGTGTATGTGTGTGTGCGATTTAATTTTATTGCTCTGAATGTTCTTTATGTAATACGATTTTCCAGGTCATAAAAACATCGTGAAACAATAGTTTACAATTGGTATTGCAGTTGGTATTGCTACCTAAATGTGTTATAGAGTATTGTTGTTTTGTCCATGCCCTTTTTTTTTCTCCTACATGTTTACCGGAAAATCGATCTCAAAAGAGTCTTGGTAAGATTAAGTTATTCTAAAAATACTCGAGAAGAAATTCCTTGTACACCTATCTGTGAATAACGAGTAATCTATGACAATTGCTCCGGTGATCTCATTATTGCTCAGATTAGCTTAATTGATTTAGATTGATTGTATTTAAATGGATAAATCTCACAGGTAATATTATTAAACTTGATTTGTTTATCTGTCAAGGGCTGTTGCGGATATACAATTAATACCATTTGAATCCTAAGAATGCTAATTTACATTTGTTCCGCCAACTGGACGTGTTGTTGGAATATATTGTGAAATTATAATTGTCTTCGGACTTTTTTTGGCATACATTATAATGTTTTAATAGTCTTTCCTTTAGATTTGGTTTTATTTATTTTGTTTCGTGGACTATTTCAAAAGAACTATTTAAAAAAATGAAGGAAATTATTTATTTTCTTAAAATAACAATATTGTGTTGATGATTTGTGATTATGTTGTTAGTTCTGGCTCAAACTTTAATCTAGTGCCAATTTTTTAATAACAATTATATTAATTATTCTACTTTATTACAGCGTGTCTTGTGTAGAATAATATGTTGTAGGATTGCATGCAATGTCCTTTGGCATTTCTTATTGTAGTAAGTTTTGATTTTAACTTGTCTATTTTAAATTTATGTTTTTATGGATAAGGTAATGTAAAAAATAGAAATAGTATTGGCATAGAAATGTGCATTAGACATTGATTTGGTTTTAGTATGCTTACAAGTTTGACTTTGTCCCTCGAAATAATATTAATTAATATTGCACCTGATACTACGTATAAATTTATAATATACTGAATTTTTAAAATCAACCATAAACCTTCAATTTTGTATTTAGATACATAATTTCTTTAGTAAATTAATTAAGTTCAGATGTATATAAAATAATTCATATTTAATAACAAAAAAAAAAAAAAAAGTGTTATAAAACTATATTTAATAAAGAAAAAATAACTGTTGCCACCATTTCGGAAAGAAGTTATACCTGTATAATAAATTTTAAAACAATTTATTTTAAACTAAAATAATAGGTACATAGTTAAATAATAAATTCATAATATTATACATAATATTACCATTGCAAGATAAAATACAGTTTTTTTTTTATACTGTTTAATTATATAAATTTAAAATAGTTACTCTATTTTTAAATATAATTAAATTTAAAAATAATTATATGATTATAAAAACAATAGTGAACTGTTTTCGACAAAGTTGTTAACGTTAATTTGGTAAATTGTAAAAAAAAAAAAAAAAAATAATTAAATAATTGATAATATATGTATTTAATAGATCTTATTATTTTAGACATAACTTTATGAAATTAATTTACAATAACGTATTGCTTCAAGTGGTCAAGAGTTTAATCTTTTCTTCTATCTGTTAAAATATTTTTTTATAAACTGAACGGCTTATCTACGACAACTGATTTCTTGGTGAATTATTCATATTAATAACTAAGCTAAGAGTTAAATATTCAGGAAGTGATTTTCTATGATTCCTTGGCCGAATAATTCCAATTTTTAATAAATACTGTCGTCCGCCAAAATGATTTTATTATCCATGGTATAATCACTGTTTGAGAGAACCATGAATAACATTACCTATTTAGTACTTATTTGAAGTACCTACTTTATTACATACAGAAGACTGAATGATTTGTATCATTCTTAAAACAAATAAAATTTATTTCCTACGATGAGAAATTAACAAAATATTTAATATTTTTATGATTTATTATACAAAATAATGTTTTTCTATGAAATTTATGATACATAAGTCGTCCACATTTTTCATCCTTATTTTATGCAGAAAGCTATTAAATATATGTAAAAACTTAAAAATTCGCTTTTTATTTATAAGCTTTTATGTAACTTGTAAGAATGAATTTTGATCCAAACTATACAAATAATACAAACAATAGTAACTTTGATGACCGTTGATTTTGATTATAATTTGTAAATTACTATTACAAAATAATAAAATAATGTTTGAAACAGTTGATTTTAGTAGTGTTACATACTATTTTGATGTATATTTTATGCTTAAAGATAAAACTAAAATTTAATCAAAACTGTATTCTAATATCATGCAATGTTTGTATTTAATACTAATTACAACCATCCAAAAAAATTAATTAAACAATGTGTATTCAATTTAATTTTTGATCAACTCATTTTATTGATTTTTTTCTATTGGATTGGAAATAAATATTTACATCCAAATCATTACATAAATACTAATACTGTTTGTGCCGGGTGCTACAAATAGTATGCCGCACTCCCGGACACCGACTTTTGCGTGTCGCACACCACCGACCGACTATAATGTGTATGTGTGTATGCCGGACAGCAGTGGTTGGGATTGCCGCGCAAGTACTGTCCGACTATGTGGTGTAGTGGTGTGTGAATACTTGTCTGTGTCTAACTTAAATTCTAAGACAAAAAATAAATAGGAACTAAAATTAATGAAATAAATGATACACGAAGGTGGTAACTACTCTTGCTGTGTATTAAATAATTAAATAAAATGGTAATAAACTAATAGATAAATAATTTAACAATAATAATAATAAACAGGTAAAATTCACAGCAACACGTAAATTGTATAAATAATAATAATATAAACACTGGCTATTTGAGCCTAACTAAAATACCGGTTCGGCACAACCAGTATAATTATAATACATAAAAAGGATTTGACCCTTTTGACCCAACAATAATAATAAAATAATTATGTATGAGTGCTTGGCCCTTATGGCCAAACGGAAGAAAAATATAATATAAAAATAATGTGCGGTCCTTACAACCTAACAAATATAAATATAATATTCGTGTAATTTGCAGTAATTAAAAATAAATATAAATTAGTATGCGGTCCTTATAACCAAATAGAAGAATAATAATAATAATGATACGCGGCCCTTCTGGCACAACAAAATAATAAATATACGGCCCTTTTGATCTTGCAAGTAAAATGTTTGTATGTTATATATAATATATAAAATATATGTAAAAATGTAATATAACTCACGGCTTTGTCGGTGAACTGTTGGTCAGCCGTTACCTATGCCTATAATATACTATATAATATTCACACAACAAATAAAATCACAAAGGTATAAGTTAAAGCTAATATAAATAATTTGTAACAATGAATATATATAATAATAAAGAGTAAATATGGCGATTAGCGCCCATGCAATAATATAAATGTATAAAATATAAAAAATAGTTATAACAAAAAAGAATAGCAATTCGTGTTTATAAATTAAATATTATTTTAACGGACTTTTGACTTCTCGCGACGACGTACGGTCAAAGACAAAAATTGCGGCGGCCGTGTTAAACTACGCGCGGAGTCACTCGCCGACGGCGGCAGATAACGCGCCGATACCTGTTTTGCATATTATATAATTCACAATACACAAAATATAATTGACACAAAGATAAAGGTAAAAATAACGGCCGATGCGCAATTGTTCTATGTGTGCGTGTGTGTGTCGATCGGCCGCTATGTTATGGCGGCAACAAATAC